GAACATGTAATGCCATTACTTAAATGTGTCATTGAAAAAAATACAAAGCAATCATGTCTTTGAATTAAAAGCTCAAAGGATTCAAGGAAAATATGAATCAAAAGAAGGAAATGAGGGTTGAGGATTTAGCTCAGTGGTGCTGCCGCCTGCCTCACAAGCACAAGGTTCTGAGTTTGATCCCCAGTACAAAAAAAAAAAAAAAAAAGGAAATGATATATAAGATGACAAATTTCAAGAAGAGGAGAGGAAAAATCACCCCAGAAATGAAAGGGTAACTTGGAAGCAGCACAAATGAAGACAGAGATAAGATACAGCACAAGAAAAAAGAAGACAAAACTCAGATTAGATTAACAATTCAAAAGAAATAGAGAAAAACACAGTAACTATTGTGGTCTTTGAAGAGGGGACCCAAAACAATGGAGCAGAAAAAAAGGATATTTTAAGATATAATTCAAAGAGGTTACTCAGAACATATGAAAACTTCATGTACAAATGGAAAGGCTATGATGTGTGCCAGGAAAAATTGACATCCATCCATCTACAGAACAATAAATAGCAAGATATTTAATTTAAAAGATAAAAGAAAATTTGGGGTATTTCAACCCAAAACTTCAGGTCAACGATATGAGATACAATCAAGCTGGCTTCAAACACTTCCACTAATGTAGAACAATGTCTACATATACATTTTAAAGAAAGTATCACCGAATAACTTTATACTTACTCAATATAGACATGTAGAAAAAAGAAACTAGTGTAGAACATGCAATAACCTGAGAACAAAGCTCCCATGAGTTCTTCTTGAAGAAACTATAAGACAAACTTAGGCGGACAAAGAGATCAATGGAAAATTATGGCAAAGACTGGTAGTGATTTCTGATTCTACCTAACTGTAAGACTGAACCTAAAGCAATTCTGGATATAATCCTAACAAGGTAGTGAAAAGGATTGGGATATGCCATTCCCAAATATGTCTCTTTGGTCTAAAGATTATTTTGAGCTGAATTCAATAAAGAAGTAGCAAAGACAGGAAGAATTCTCTACTCTCAGCTATTTGCCTAAATTGAGGACATACATTGTCATCTGGGAAAGTTGTTCTGTCTCCCTCTCGCACACTAGAAGACACTCATACAATCACTGTCACTGAACACAGAAGCTCAGTACAGTACCAGGATGGTCTGTACAAAACAATTCTGAGAAAATAACCTTCATTTTCCATTAGTTTTCCCCAAGTATTAATCTTCACACCACTTCCTACTACTAACCCAAATTCCTTTGCTATTGCCTTGCCATGCCTCAATAATTGTATTGCCTTTCTAACTCCATCTTTAAAGTACCCATACCTGGGTGTTTTTTGTTGTTTTTCTCTTGTTAATTTGTCTTTTGTCAGTTGGATTTGCAGGCCTCCAATACTGGAACCTAAGAAGGTCAAAGAAAGCACTGTTTTTCCTCCTCCCCCTCAGAATCAATGGTTTAAAAAAAGCAGGTAGGGGAAGGGGAAAAGTGTGAAAGATCAAATAAGCACATTCTTTAGAGCAGAAGAAACAAAAGACAAAGTTACAAATCAAGAAACAGAGATAGAAGAATGTTTAAAGCAAGATAAGCACCAAGATAAATAATATAATCTACTTCACAGGAGAAGGCCACTTCTTTTCCCCAGTTTTGTAGCTTGGCACACAGCCAGTTGAAATTAGAGCTCTATTTCCAGCCACTATTGTAGGTAAGCAGTATGTGCAACTTCCAGACTTTCCTTACACAAAGAACTTCCTTCCTTCGGCTTTTCGTTCTTTGTGATACTGAAGATCAAACGTAGGACCTTTGCTCTGTGCTACAATCTCCACCCCATTTTATTTTCAGACAGGGTCTTCCTAAGTTGCTAAATTGCTTATACTCAACTCAAATGCATGATCCCCCTGCCTCATCCTCCCAGAGCGCTGGATTACAGGCCTTCATGCCCAGTGTGTATTTTGGAATACAGAAGTAATAGCCCAAGCTCCAGAAACTTTCCTGAATCATGAAATAATGTTAGACAGAAAGCCATCCATGAGCCAGGCATTGTGCCATATACTTGTAAACCCAGTACAGTATTTAGAAGGCTGAGGTAGGAGGATCACTGATCACCAGCTGGGCTACATAGTGAGACCCTGTCTCAAAAAACAACAAAAATAAGAGGGTGGTGGGGAGAGAAGGGAGGAGGACAAAGGGAGAAGAGGAGAGGAGTAGACTAGAGAGGAAGGGAGAGGAAGGGAGGGGAGAGGAGAGAACAAAGAAGAGCGGAGAAAGCAGAGGACGGGAAGGAAAGGGAGGTGAGGGGAGAAGGAGGAGAGGAGAAGAGATGAGAAGAGAGGAGAGGGGAGGGAGGAAAGGGCCACCTGTGAAACAATAATATGTTTTACAAAGCTTGGGTCCCTGACATAGCTAGGTAGTATACCAGGAGCTCTGGAATGACCACCTCCTGAGTTCTAGGACAGAGAAGAGAAATGAGTGTTTATTTTATTTCAGCCGGTGACTGGTATTTGCTAGTTCCATGTGAATCGCACCAAATTAATTCAATTAACATTAATGGTATGAACACTACTTAAAACGACACGACATGCACAAAAGAGACCTGAACAAATAAAGGATGTGGGACGGGGGATGCGGCTCAGTGGCACAGCAGTTGCCTGGCATTCAAGGTCCTGAGTTCAATCCCCAGCACAGCATTAAGAAAGAAAGAAAGAAAGAAAGAAAGAAAGAAAGAAAGAAAGAAAGAAAGAAATTGCAATTCTCCTTAAATTAACATAGTCTCAATAAAATACCAATATATTTTAACTTGACAAGCTGAGTCTAAAATTTAAATAGAAAAGAAAAAGAATAGCCAGGGAATTCTATAAAATAAAGGTTCTGAAGTAAGGGTGGATGTGCATGTGTATGTTCAGCTTGATTTTCACAAGATTATAATAATTAAAATATGTAGTTAGAGCCTAAAAAATGAAACAATAAAACAGAAAGGAAAACTTGAAAGTAAATCTAAATAGACATAGGAATTTACAAAATGATAAAGTTGATACTTCATATCAATAGAAAAGATAGATTATTCAACACAGCCAGCTATGTAATCATCCGGGAAAAAAATGTGGGTCCCCATCCCACAAACTACATTACAGTATTATTGACATGGATTAAATTTTTTGTATAAAATTAAAGTACAGTACTAAAGAAAGTGGGTATAAAAAGGTATTAAATAATCTCATATTGCAGAAGATATTTTCAAATACTACACAATACCCGGAATTGTAAAAGATTTATAGAGCTGACCACACAAAAATAAACAGGTTCAAAATGAGAAAAATTAAACCTATTATTTTTAAAAAGACAACAAACTGGTCAAAATTTCTCAACCTATATCACACAGGCTGACATTCTTAAAATATCAACAATTCCTTTTAATTAATAACAAAAAACCATCAAGTAAAGTAAATATAGCCGGGCATGGTGGCTCACACCTGTAATCACAGCATTCAGGAGGCAGAGGCAGGAGGATCACAATGAGTTTGAGGCCAGCCTGGGCTACATGATGAGTTCAAGGCCAGTCTGAATTACAAATTGAGATCCTGTCTCAAATAAATTTTTAAAAGGCAAATATATATTGTATTAAAAATATAGAAACTAAACCTACCAAGAAGGTCAAGTTTATTTACATTGAAGAAGTGCAAGGTAAAACTATTTTTAACTATTTGGCTAAGATAAAAACCTTTCATAATAATAAATAGTTTTTAAATTAAGGAGGACATGAGCACTGTCATACATTTATTGCAAGACTGTAAATTGGTACGAGTCCCATCAATCAGTTTGACAATAGCTAAAACATTATAATGTGCATATAATTTAACCAGATAATTCTACATAGTGTACATATTTGAAATTTCAAATATGCAAGGTTATTTTCCACAGTGTTGCTTATAATGGCTAAATACTGGGAATATCTTTCATTTCTATCAATACACTCCTGATGAAATACAGTGGACCCTCAAGTTACCACCGGCCTGACCTATTTACAACTTGGGTTAATTAAGTTAATGACTCTTGTTATCTATAGTGAGTACCCAGGTAAACATCCGGATCTCAGCTATATTGAATTATCATCAGCCAGAACTCAGGAACTGATAAAGTCTGTGAGTCAAGGTTCTGCTGTAAACTAATACAACCATATAATAGAATATAATGTAACCATTAAAAGTAAAGCTTTGAAAAAATCAAGATGCAATATATATGTACCAATTTCCCTTAATGAATATATTTATGGTGTATTGCAAACATATACTAATAAAACTTTTTTAAAGTAAGGTTTGATAATGAATGTGCCAATCAATTCTTTAGAATTTTCTACTTCCAAGAAAATTGTTTGACTAGGATTAAACCCATTAATAAACACAACTGGATATCATAAATTCCTTGATCCTCACTGTTCCTCATACACCTCAGAATCTAAAGACCTGATGGTCAAAATGATCAATCATGTCAAACATAAAGGACCATAACCTCTTGTGAGTTGAAGAATAGTGTTCAAATGTCATGTCCAACATCAAAATACAAAAAACATTTTAAAGTAGTACTGATGAAATGGTGTAGCCTAACAATTATTTGGAAAAAGGATCACCTGAAAGAAAAACCCGGAGAAATGTATTAGATTTTCATACTGAGAGAGCATCATTCATTTTAATATACTATATCTCCCAAGTCTTTCTCCAGATCAAGGTTTATGCAAGTGCTATTTGGAAACTATAGCAACACTTTGCCTTCAATAGTGCAAAAAGAAAACTCCATCAGCTAAAAGTAAAACAAATGATTGATTTCTCAAGTCTCCTCCAACTAATCTCTTATATTCCCAGTTCTTTACTATCCTCAGAATTTACCTGGAGAAGACAGTACTACTCACTATGTGCACACACATGCACACACACACACAGAAGCACATATGGAGTCACACACAAATAGAGAGATGTCTAATGAATTCTTACCTGATAACGTGTTGGCTGATTGAGAATGCTGTTAAAACTGTGTGATTCAAAAACTCTTGAGTTAGACTGAGTGAAGAGGTTTAACTAGGAAAAAATACAATTAACCTAGTAAATCAGAATACATTTATTTGGAATCAGAAATATAGCCTATTTTATTTTCCTTGATAACATTTATAAAGTCAACATATTTTGGGAGAATGCTGTGTAGAAGTTGTGTATTAGAAATGATTTCATATGTTTCCAAAGGTAAAAATTAATGTGAGAAATATGCTCACATTTATCAAGGTGTAGAACTGGTAATTGGAACCTTATCTTTAAAAGTTGGCTCATATTAAAAACATTTTTCCTTGGGACCTTATACATTTAGTAAAATGTACTCATGGCATCCAGAAGTCATCTAACATGCTCCAATCTGCTCCTGAGACCCAGTTCCTCTCCTAGACTAGAATAGAAACACACTACCTTTCAAGCATTTTCTAGTCCTCAAATATTGGCCAAAATAATACATCTGCCTAAGCATCTTGGCTTTATACTGAGCCAGCATCACAATGTTGGAGAGAATTTGACTAAAGAAGTTTAGTTTTCTTTTCTCCTGAAGATTTAGATTTTGAGTGGGAGGGAGCAGAAAGCAAGAGGCATATGAAGGCAGGCACTGTCCATTTTTTGTTTTGTTTTTTTGTACGTGAGCAGGGCCTTCCTGTTAGTCGTGGGTAAGCTGCCACCTACACGGTGTGATTCAAGCAGGGGCCCCAATCCAAAAAGGTATGTTCACCCCACCACCAGACTCCCACCATTCCAAGGAGTGGGAGGCTAGGGGCGCAGGAAGTGGCGCTGACAGGCAAGGACCCTCCTAACTGTTCTAAAGTTATGCCAAGAGAAAACTTTGGCTAACAAAGTTAATTTCCCAATTTGCCACTGGAGGTCAGAATCTGCCTGTGGGCTGAGGTTAGCTGTGTAGGTTAACAGCAAAGGTTTCTTGACACTCCTTCCTCTCTTCTAAAATAGAAAAAAAGAAAAATAGAATTTCTTCAATCTTTCTTAAAATTCAATAGATAGTGTCTATGATTATGCATAAAGTTTAAAGTGGTCTCTTTATAACTTACAATGCTCTCTCTCAAAAAAGTCAATTTTAGCAGTTGCAGAAGCCAGGCCCCTTTAAGAGCCAGCTATCCCACAGCTGAAGGTGGGGTGCATGCAGAAGAGGGGCAGGAACCAAACTCAGACTCAACTGCTGAACATAAGAGGCAGCCAGTGCAACAGTGAGAGCTAGGCACCTGCAGCTGAAGACTCCAATTCCACACTGCACTGCACTGGCTAGCCCAGAGGACCTTGCATAGGGGAGTTATTTGAATGGCCTATAAGATATCCTATTTATAAAATGGGAATAGTAATACCTACCTCACAGTGCTGCACAAGGCTCTGAATAAGGAAGGGCACTGATATTTGTTGAGGCTGGAACTTTGCATATCTATATATAATCCTCACAATAACCCTACAGTTTCCTCTCTTTCAGGTTAATTCAAATCCAGGTCTAATGCTGAGGCTGCTTCCTTTACATTAAACTGCTTCTCACTGTGTACCTACAAGGTGTTACTTTAAATCTCGACACATCATAGCAATCACTGCCTTGCAACCTAATAGCTATAATAGCCCATATCCAGGCCAGACAAAAAAGATTTAAAGGTCATTTTCTTAAAGAATAAGATTACAGGGTTATTACAAATCTTGAAAACTCATATCTATCTTAAAAAGAAAGAAATCAAACTGCTGTGATCCCCTTCCCCTGGCTTCATCCGAGAAAAAAAAAATACCTACCTCTGCTCAAAAAACCCTATGCTTTATGGAAATTACATTAATGTCTTTCGAGCTCCCAAAGTATTGTAGCCATGCACCATTTTCTTAATTTTACACAACAATATTATATTTTAATCCACATACTTGCTAACTGCCTTCTTTTCTATTATCAAGGTTTGCCCATATCCTTATGTTTTCTGTGCCAATTCCAGTTCTGAAAATTAAATTCATGCTGATCAAGTGCCATCATTAACTTAGCTTCTTTGTTAAAATTTAAGTGGGACTCGACCAGGACAACTTAATGGGTGACTGTTCTGTTTTATTTACAAAAGGGGTATTTATGTGTTTTGAGGATGTTCTCAGACCCACATCTAGTTTATGATATGGGAGGGGGGAAAAGCTATTATTAGTCAAGTTAAAATTTCTCTTCAAACAAGAAGAGTGTGGTGTTGATAAGCTATATAAACAAGAACAGGAAAATCTGAGGTTAAAACTATTTAACTTCAGAATAACAGTTGAGAAGCACATAACACAGGAAAACAAAGTGTTTTTTAAACAGTAACTATTTTGTTTACTTTTAACAAGTTAAAGAAGCTTTTTACTTCCTTGCTTTTTTGGGGGGGAGTATCAGGGATTGAACTCAGATCCTTGCACTTGCAAGGCAGGCCATCAAACCGCTGAGCTAAATCCCTGGCCCTTGTCTGCTTGCTTTTAATCCAGTAGTTTACAAGACTGAAAGCAGGGCATAGACTAAGTGACTTCTTGAAACATTAGGCAGATATTAAGTATTAGTCTATGAAAGAGGATGGGATGGACAGTTATTTTTCAACATGTTTTAAGTTCACACATGCAAATTCATGAACAAATGTCAAAAGACAAGGAGAAAGAGACACAACGTGTATTTTAGGGATTTGGTAAATTGTCAATACCTACCCTAGACTTTGAGTTACCCATTCCCATCTCCAGGTCTTTCTGCAGTCTTCTCCTTCTGCATTTAGAAAAGTTAATGATCCGCATGATGAAATAAACAAAGGATTTTGGACTGGGAACCAGACTGAAGGGTGGAGGTAATGTTTTTCCATCATCAAAATAGGACAACCAGAGTTTTGAACGTGCAAACTTCCATTCTACATCACTGTCATCCTAAGTCACAAAAATAGAATATTTAAAACTAAGCATTTTAGTAATGGTGTACATTTTTGCAATGAATTTACATTATTTTTTGAAGTAGGTAACTTACATTTATCTGCATATAATATACAAGGCAACATAATATACTAAGTATCATTTTTATGACACTCACTTAAAAATGTCTCTTCCTTATGCTCTTGTCCATAGTAATGGCAAACCTTTTAGAGACCGAGTGCCAAACTGTAACCCCAAACGCATTTATTTATTACAAGCTGTCAACACTGCAATTGAAACTGAAGACTGAGGCTTTTGTTTAGAAAAAAAAAAAAACAAAACTCATACATTAACTCTTTTCGTCTTAAGAGAAAAACACAATAACATGTGTGCCATAAGTTCACCGCTACTAGTCTGTACCCACTGTTTTTTAACCAGAATTTCCTGGCCCCTCTCAAAGACAAAGCAAAATATAAGACAGTTAGTGGTCAAGGAAGAAAAAACAATATTAACTCCATCATAAAGAATACAAAAACATTAAAAAAATGCTGGTGAGGACGTGGGAGAAAAGGAACACTTCTACATTGTTGGAGGGAATGTAACTTAGCACACCCACGATATAAAGAGTACAGAGTTTCCTCAAAACATGGAAAGTAGAAATATTGTACGACCCCGCTATACTAAGGAAACTGAAATCCGCATACTCTACAGATATCTATATACACATCTTTCCTGCAGCCCAATTCATAATAATTAAGATACGGAACCAGCCCAATGGATGAATAAAGGAAGTGTGGTTATGTACACACTCAGGAGAGTTGCTTCGAGCTGCAGCTCTACCCCAAGATACAGAAGCAAAGGTCACCGGCTACCAGAGAGACATCCAAGACAGAAAACAAGCTTACCTCAATTTCTTGATATGAGCTATTAATCATAGCAATTAGCATGTTGAGTAAAACAACCACCATAGTTACGTTGTATATTCCATAAAGAACATATCCAATATTCTCTATGAATTTGTGGTCGTACTTGAGCACTACCGAAGTCACTTCAGACAACCCAAATATTGACCAAAACAAAGTCTTGAAACTTTCTTCTACACTGTTGAAAAAAATAAGATACACAGTAATTAAGTAACATTTTTAGTATTAAAAAGTGAAAAGTAAAAACATGTCAGGGTCTGATACTATACAGATGTCAAATGCCACCATAAAGTGTCATCATGGTGCACTCCTGTAATCTCCTCACTCTGGGAGGCTGAGGCAGGATTGTAAGTTTGAGCCCAGCCTGAGAAACTGAGGGATTTAGTAAGACTCCATCTCAAAATAAAAAAATAAAAAGGATTGTATCTCAATGTGAAAGCCCTGCGTTCAATCCACACCCAGTAAATCCTCCCCCCACACCCACGGTCATTATAATGAACTCTTCATAATTAGTTTCAATAAAATTCTAACAGTAGAATTTTTTCTGTCATGATATTTAATAGAAATTACTCTCTCAATTATTAGGAACTGATACCAATTCCTAGTTTTTCTGAAGTTATCATCAAGTGAAAGCCCTCTGTATCTAGCAGAAGAAAGCTAATACCCATTCCTTGCTCCTAAAGGGTCAAAAGTTTTGAGCTTTATTTTTTTGTAGATAATTTAGAAATTTCCAGCAGGTTTTGTGGAGTAAGCAGAATTACAATTAAAATTGTAAACCCACTTCAAAAACCGTACACACAAATATATTGCTTGAAATATGATTTTTAATGGAGTGATTTGCATTTAGCATAAAAACAACCTAAATATCCAGGGAATGGGCTAAATAATTCTGTACACTCAGACAAAGAATTGCTACACACCAGTGAGACAGATCTATCTTCCTGTGCTCATATTGAAAAAATAAGATTTTGCAAGTGTGAACTATTTTATCATTTGAATACAAATAAGGGTATACAATTACTTATAATCTCCTTTGGGCAAAAAAACAAAATCACTGAAAGCAGCTGAAAGAAACCATTGCTTCTGGGAACCAAGGAGAATGAATAGATTGGAGTCCAGGGGAAGAGAAAGAGAGGCTTTTTGCTGTAGACACCTCATTGAATCTTATCACAAGAACATACAATTGTTGCTTGGTATCTGTTTGGGATTAGTTCCAAGACTCCTCAGGGATATCACTAGCTGTGGATGCTCAAGTCAGTCCTTTATATTTGCACATTACCTGCTCCTAAATTCCTGTACATTTCAAGACATCTCTAGTTTATGATACTTAATACAATGCAAAAGGCATATAGTTGTTACACCATATGCTTTAAGAGATGACAAGAAATAAGTCTGTACATGTTTGGTACAGATACATATTTTTTAAGAATATGTTTTCCCCACAGTTGATTGAATCTGCAAACGTGAAAGCCATGAATAATGACTGTATTACCTACCTAGAAATACTTTCCTAGAAATAAAGTGAAGGCAACAGAATGAAAGATTACTGTTACTTTAATTTACATAATCTACTTCCTAATCTTGCTATCAGTTAGTACACAAGCCCTCACTAGACTAATTACCTACTTTTGTCTGCTAAATGACAGACTTTGTCATGTGATGGATTTGTAATCACAATCTGTGAACTGAACAAATAATTCTTAGTTACCCATGTCAAATTTTATTGCAAAGAAAAACTCAAAAGTGTGTCCTTTTTCCAGAAAATGAGTTTTTGAGACAATCCTTTAAAAACTTTTTACAACAGGTTCTAATTAATGAGTTTAAGTACTAGTTCATTAATTTATTCATTCACTTAACAAATCTTGATGGAGGATCTATTGAATTCTAGAAATTTTGCTGGGCCCTGGGGAAAGTTGTTAGGAAGATTTCTGTCCCATTGTTACTCTGTATTATGAAACATTTGATGGTGATCAGCAGAGGTGCTGATAGGAGACTAAGAAAAGCTCTAACCTGTTTCAGCCATTTATTCAGCAATATCACAATGCTACCCAGCTCCTTTGCAAACCTTCCACCCCTAACTTCTCTTTGCATCTGTGTGTGGAGTGTGTGTCAGGAAGGTGGGGGCAGGAAAATTGGAAAGAACACCAGTGGTTCTGAATTCCTACTGTGGGCAAGAGGCTTTATATAGCTTGCCTTATGTAATCCTAGAAATGACTTTATTTAAACCTTGCTGTACTTATTCTTAAAATAAAGAAAATGACACTAAAAATGTTCAGTAATTTTAACCAAAGGCCACTGCTTTAGAAAAATAGTAGAGACTGCATTAAAGTCTTGATCTGCAAGATTTTCCAGCTTATTTTTTTCACAACATCATGCTGCATGCCCCCCAAATTGAAGAAAATGTATTATAGGAAATAAGTTACCATAGAATTAAAGGGAGGGAGAGCACAGCAGTGGCAATGTGTGTTAGCTCTTTTTTTCTGATAGGTTTAAACAGATTTTTTTTCCTTTATTACAATAAAGCAAATTTCAGGTCCCCTTCACCCTTAAGACTGGGGGTCTATATTAACTATTTAAAAATTGATTTCAAAACAATTTAGAAGTCTGCAAGGGTCATTATTCTACTTTTAGTGTACAGGGAACTTAATGAATGTGTAGTTGATTTCCAGCTGTGGCACTATAGCAAACAAAAGGAGAAAAGGAAGGGTTTATGGTCTCCCAGATACAAAGACTAAAATCCAGAGGGAGGGCCCCATACTCATGACAACCAAATGGGTAAGAAAGAACCTCACAACCTGGAAATCGCCACACTGAAGGACTTTGAGGGGATACTGACTGAGGAAATCAAGGGAGACTTCATGCAGGAGGTGAATCTACAGGGTAGAAACCGGTATAACCAGGAGGAGGAAGTAGAATCACCTTTACAGGGGGTGGTAAGATATTTCGCTATACTTCCACTTACTCAGCTCACTGTACTGGTTAATGATGAATATATTAAAATAAAAGTGGATGTTTCCTTTTATGAAATAGTACTGGCTGCAAAATGATAAGGCTAAATTTAATGTTATGTATAATGTAAGAGACAATGAGCATGAGAAATCTGTTATCCCATTCTCTTAAAATACCCACTTTTGTCTGGGAATTTTAAAAATCCCGATCAAGTCTATGATTAGATGTGCACTAAACCCCGAGATGAATTTGTGGAGCAATGCAATCAAATGTAAATATAAACTGTTTTTTATGGCTGTTTTTCTGCGCCCCCCCGCCTTAATACCAGGGATTGAGCTCAGGGCCTCATACTTGCAAGGCAAATACTCTATCAGTGAGCCATATCTCCAGCCCCTTTTCCTGCTCTTAAAACATCTTCATTACAATAGCAAAATATTGTTTCATCAAACTTGTTAGAATTTTTCTTCATAATACCTTTTTAGTAAGATGTTTTACTTACGTGGTAAAAGCAGCATTTACTTTGGCCCCAAGGTAGTAAGAATAAAGTATGAACATGCCAATCATAAATGCCAAAAACACCATGATAAATAGGACCATGAACTTGAATATGTCCTTTACAGTCCTTCCAAGAGAGATCTGTAAGGGGCCGAAGCTCTCATTTGCAGGGAGGATGTATGCAATCCGAGAGAAGCTGAGCACAACAGCTATGGCGTAAAGGCCTTCAGATATGATCTGAGGGTCAGAAGGGAGCCATTTATCTCTAGCTAGAAAAAGGAGAGAAAGATTAAACATGAAGCTCTCTGTCCATTGTTACTAAGCAAATACCTTAAATAGGCTCTATCTTGTTTGTTGATGGTTTTATGTCAGTTGAGACTACTGTAGATTAAATTAATTGTTCAAGAACTATATTTATGTTAAATCAGAAACATAACTTCTACATTACTTCCAAAGGGGGCAATACTATTATAAAGACACTAAAGTGGAGAGAAACAGAATAAAATACAGAAGATAAAGAGATTAAATCATATACTAGGTCTAGGATGACAAAATAACCACGTGTCTCCTCAGTTATTAGATATATTGACCAGTTATTCGTCATTCTATAGGCATAGCTGTAATGAACCTTCTTTTCCATATTTGGTGGGGAAGTTAGTTCATCTAACAGTTTATGCAAGTAAAATGTCAGATGGTGATGAGGGAGAACGGCACTGAATCCCAATGGTGCTGACTATGTGCTAGTCAAGCAATATAACTTGTTTTGGAAAATGTAAACTGCCATGCAGTGTAAAAACTTGTAGCAAGTAAAAAAAAAAAATACAGATTCTGAATGAGGAACCCTAACAATCTTTTCAAGATTATTTATTAAGATTGCAGTAAATCTATTCCTTGGTACTTAAGCATAGTCCTAAGTGGGTAATTTTGTGCAAACTGGGTAATTTCCAAAAGAATAGATACATTGTACATATCTGTTACAACAAAAATTATACTTATTGAATGTTTAATATGCATTACACACTGCCTTTCATGACTCTATAGAGACGTTAACCTTTTCTTAGAGAGGCAGAAACTAAGAAAAGTTCAACATTTCATCAAAACCACACATATAGGAAATAGGGAAGCTTGAATTCACAAGTTTCCTTCTAGACAACAGTTGGTAAATATGTATGAATAAATTCAAATAGCTAGGTTATGTTAATAGCTAAGATATCTCACAAAATAGAACCTAAGTTAATTCTGTAATTACAAGTGAGGATCATTTGTTTATCTGAGCCAGCGTGCTTGGTATACAGAAATCCTTGCTTGCTGACAATAAAAGACAATATGTTTAAATTTCATGTGGCAAAAAATTTTATATTTTGGAGTGGGATTCCAGTCTTCTTCGATAATGTAAACCTGGGCTGGAGATTTAGCTCAGTGGTTCTGCTGCCTGCCCCGCAAGCGTAAGGACCAGAGTTCGATCCCTAGTACCAACAAACAAACAAAAAAATAATGTAAATATGCTACAGGTACTTGTTGCAATGTAAGCCCTGATTACACTTATAAAGAGTTACTCTTCACAACCAGCACACATTTGAATTCCATGCTTGAGTTTCTTAACTGTAAAATGAGTTATACAATATGAAACTATATAAACATTTGCTAATTGGAGTTTCTCAATTGGCCTCAAGGGAAAGGAGGCTTACATTACTTAATATTGGTTCATTCTGGGCAAGAAAGAATCAATATCCTTTTACCTGAATGTCAGTTGGGGTTCTCCTCACTCTTTGTCATAGAGAGAAGTTTGGCATGAGCCCCATCCCATGCTATGTGAGAAAGCACAACATCCTCTTCCACATTTCTGCTGGTTCTCTAGTGCTTACACTCTCACGATCACTTTGGTACTTGCTTTCTGCCTCTGCTGAATTTTTGTTCGCTTTGTCAGCAGAGCAGTATAGTATCTTTTATTATCCTATCTCTGAACTTGTGCTACCCCTGAGAATCTAGTTTTACAAAGCTCCAAAGCCTGTGCTCTCAGCACTGCTCATATGCATCAACACATTTCTTATATTTAAATATATGCAAGTTGCCTTTTATGTGAGGTTTGGTTTCCTGTGGTTTCATTGAACCATGGTCAACAGCACCCTGAAAATATCAGGTAGAAAATTCTAGAAATTGATAATTTATCATTTTAAAATAGCTCAGCACTCAGACCAGTATGAAGTCTTGTGAAGCTGGCTCCCATCCCTTAGAGAACCTGAATGGTTCCCTGGTCCAGTGTATCTGTGCTGTAGTGGCAACCTAACTATTAATCACTTAGAAGTCAACTAGGTTAGCAGACTGACTGCCATTGTACTGGAGCATCTGTGTTCAATAAACTTTTATTTTACTTTACAATGGCCCCAAAGTGCAAGAGTAGTGTTGGTAGGGATTCTATTATAGTATGTTGTTATAATTGTTCTATTTCGTTATTACTGTTAATCTCTTACTGTGCCTAATTTATAAATTAAACTTTATCAGAAGTATATATTTATGTATGGAAGAAAAAGATAGTATATTGTTGTGGTTTGGGTCTGAAATGTCCCCCTAAAGTCCTGTGTGTTTGGATAGTGGTTGGATCATGAGGGTGCTGTCCTCATCATCAGATCAGTGGACCAATGAGTTTATAGCTGATTTGTTTTTAGGAAGTAGGGGCTGGTCAGAAGAGGTCAGTGGAGGTGTGACCCAGAAGGGTGTATCTCTCTCCCTAGCTACTCTCTTCTGTTTCCTGGCTGCCATCATGTGAGCAGCCTTTCTCCACTGTAGGCCCTGCCACCATGCCTCTTCTATGACTGAACCCACCAACCTGGGTCTTGGACTAAAACTTCTGAAACTGCCCGGACAGTGAAGAAAACGACTACTAAGATCTGTCTAGCGAGCTGCCTAGCTAGCTTTCATTATCCTATCTCCTTGAATTCATGCTACCCCTGAGAATATAGTTTTGTAAAGTTCCAAAGTACAGCCATTGGCTTCAGGCGTCCATTGGGATCCTGAAACATATCCCCGCTAATTAACTCTTAATTATGATTTTCTTCCAAAATGAAACATTAGAGGATCTTGAAACTAACAACTTACCATAAGTGAAATACTGTATCTCTGGTGGGAGTGTGACTTCATTGAGGTCGCTCTCTTGGACATAACTGTCCACATACTGTTGGGCTTTAGTTGCCTGCAGGAAAGCCAGGAATCTGGCTGTGAAAGCAGCAATGAAGATGGAAAGCATCCCAAAGTCAAGCACATTCCACAGTTGCAAAATATATTCTCTAGGTCCTTCCAGCCAGAGCTCCTTACACTCAGACCACATCATTCCTATCACAACAAAGACACAAAATAAGATTAGATTTTATAGCAGAGGCCAAAAAGCTGCTATGTTTGTTCACCACCTGGGAGCGTCTACAAAATATAAAGCATGGCACTAGGTACCACAAAGCCCAGAGAGACTGTGGTCACTGAAGTCCTAGGCAGAGTTAAATGCAAGAAACAGAGGCATCCCACTGTTAGAACTGGGAGAAACACAGGCTAAGGTAGCACAGTAATAGATTACTTGTGTAGTATGTGCCAGGGTAAGATGCTGGTCTTGATAGCAGGAGGAGTTGGAGGAGGAGAAGAAGGAGGAGGAAGGGAAGAGCTAATTAATCCATTAATTCAGAAAGTGAGAAGATATCCAAAAACACACTGGAAGAAACAAGGAGAATATACAAAAATGATTTTGCACTAGTAATCAATGGACAAATCCATTTCAGCTTCTATTTATTATCAAAGAACAAAAACATTTTTTCTCATATTACTTAAAGCTTTGCATTAACACAGCTTCTCAAAATGGTTTATTATAAGGTGCAGTAACAAACATTCTGAAAACAGAAATTGAAAATCCCTGAGACTAAAGCAATATAAGCATAACTTTGGTCATTAGTTAACAGTTGGTGGATTATTTCATCAACATTTCAGTATTTTAATTAGATAATTGCTCACCACAGTGAGTTGCATTTAACAATTTACATTCTGTTCAATCATTCAAGTCAAATTATTGAAACACAGTATACTTGTAGTTATGTTCATGTTAATTATAAAATTTACTTAGTATTAAAGTGTATGATTGGAATTATCTAGGTACCAAGTTGTTCAATGAGCCTGCTATTTAGCTTACTTACAATGGTGATGTTTTCACTACATAACAGTTTTAGTAGAAAGCAGCAATAACTGATATAACTATTTTTGGCCAGAAAATAATGTATGTGGAGGTCTTACCGAGAACCCAGACCATAATGAGCATTTCAGTCCATGTGAACTGGGTGGTCTTTACTCTGAAGATCTGTTTGGGGTAGTCAGTGACGGTGATGTTGGGCAGTGTGGCGATGCCTTCAAACCTATCGGAGGCATTGAACACCAGCAGGCCCAGGAAGATGATGAATGAAGCAGCATGAGCCACAAACTTCATGAAAGGGCTTCGCAGGACTTTCCCTAGCTGTAATTAGATCCCCCAGAGAAAGAGTGAGAGATTTCATTTTAGAAAATCTGGCTTCTACTTCAGACAGCTACCATTCAGAATAAAATAATATATAAATAAAAGAAATGAGAAAACTTCAAAAGCCTTGTTTCTAAAAAGCTATATATTTTGAAAACTAATCTTTTAGGGAGGTGCTTCCTCAAAACTAATTTAATGTCTTTAAATTGTTTCTAAATGTCCAGTTTGGGCCAGGCATGATGGCACACACCTGTAATCCCAGTACTTGAGAGGCTGAGCCAGGAGACTTGCTATGAGTTTGAGGCCAGCCTGGACTACACAGAGAGACCCTATCTCAAAACAAAAACAAAGCAACTTGAAAAAATGCGCGATTTGTCTCAAGATATACTGCATTGGCAGATGATGTCCCTTTTGAAATAACAGGGCATGTACAGATTCTCCCTTTTGCTTTTATATGAAAGATTATACAAAGTCAAAATTTTTATGATTTGTGAAAAAAAACCTTTAAATTAGGACTGTGTAATCTCCCTTCATTTTCTTGTCCTCTTCCTCGTCTTTTCCTTCTTCTTCTTTTTTTTTTTTTTTTTTTTTTTTTTTTTTTTTTTTTTATATGGGGCATTGAACTGAGGGCTTTCTCACTGGGCTCCCTCCTCTTTCATTTTTTTTTTATCTTGAGACAAAATCTCACTAAATTACCCAAGCTGAACATGAGTTTATGGTCTGTCTCAGCTTCCAGAGTTCTATGATTGTACCACACCCAGCTGTGTCATTCTTTAATGGTTTATAAGTGAAATGTTATGATGCAGAGAACAATAAAACCATCTAGTAAAAAAATTACTACAATAAAAGTGAATTTTAGTTCTTATTTTTAAATATTCTAAAATCACTATATTTTGTATCATATTTTAAAAGGCAGAAAATACTAGAATTAAGATAAATATTTTATTGTTACTTACAAGAGGGAGACACATGATAATTGAAACCCCTAAATAGATTAATTTAATTAAATGTTATTTATGAGTTTGGAAAATCATGCTATAGCACAAAATGACTTCAAAGTTCAGTTTATAATTATTTTAAGGTGACTACTTGAAAAACCCCTGAAATATAGTGAATGTCCTTAAAAGTCCTATGTTCTAGTAGAAATGAAAAACAGTTCCTCCTGTCCCTAGGGCGTCTACAGTCCAAATATTAGTTATATTTGGTATACATTTGGTCAAAAAAGTTCTCTATTCTACACACTCAGATGTCACTTTTTAGCTCAATCTGTGGCCCTAAAATGTATTGGGGTTTATATTTTAAAGACTTAAGTTTGAGCTAATGGTCTAGAACAGTGGTGGTGAACTTATGGCATACTTGCCTCAGCAGGCTGTGTGCATCACTGAAAGCTCTCAAAGCTGGTCTAGACTGTTATTTGATGTCAACAAATAGTCAAACAAATATTTCTGAGACTGAACAGGTATACACACAGACAAATGTGACATTATCCATAGACGTGGAAAAATAAACAACAACATAATCACACTTCACTCTGTTGTTACCCAGTGAAGGTGCACTGGGGCAGCTTTATCCACAGCACATGTAATTTTCCTGTTTCACCTAGATGTTGGTCCTTTAAAACTTTAAATAAGATGGGAAGAAAGCAGCATACTTATTTTTAAAATGCGATATATGTGGAGAATTCTTGTTATGCTGCTGTTTCACTGTAAATAGGTGGTAGACAGCAGCTACAATCAGACTCCAGAAATGGCTCAATTCCTACCTTTCTTTCCCTTCTCTGCTCAGCAGAGTTCTCCACAATGTTAGCTACACTTTGAAAAGTAAAGAGGGGACAACAGAAAAGAGGAGTGGAACCCAAGATGCCTACTCTAAACCTGATGTAATGTTTTAACGAATTAAGCCTCCATGAGAGACCTGAACCCTCCAGAAAGGGAAATTATATGGGTGGATTATGATTTTTTTGCTTTATTGCATGTTCGTTCACATTATTTATATATTTTAGTCTTTACTATTTATGTAGCTAAAGAATCATAAAGTAGTTTTCCATGATACGTATCAAAAGAACTTAGTCAAGTCATCAAACTTGATCAAAATGACAGACTTCCTGCATTAAGTTGCACTGGGCAACTCAACCATGAAGTGAGATGGATAAGAATTCCACACATATATGGTACCCGCAGAGCAGGACTGCTGAGGAGACTGCCGCGTCAGATATGACAGATTTTATGGGTCACTTGTAAATGGACTTGACTAATTTTGCCTAAAACAGCCTCTGATTTAAACAAAACCAGATTTCAGAATATTATAAACAGGATTAAGGGAGCTCATAACAGCTCCTCTCTGGCAGTGCCCCCTATTTAACCAAATACAGATTCTGTTAGCCTGACTCGTATTTTTTTCCACATCTTGTTTAGGGAATCTCAGGCACAACTAAATTGGCTGTACACAGGCCAATTTGAGAGGAGAATAAAGATAGCTAAAAAAATGATCAAAGCAACCCAAAACACCCAAGACCTAAATTCTACTTGTTTTAGAACCTTCTGAAAGAACAAAGGGCTAGGAGAACCTGACATGCACATATTTGAAGACTTCAAATAACACATTTACTGTGCTTGATACACCGAGCCTTCAATTGTTTGTGGCAGGTGCAAGTGGTCCCCACTTGCTGGTACTCCTGCAGTAGGGCTGTCTACTCCACGCTGCTTTCCTTCCACGGTCAGCCTTGTCAACCATCTGCTTATTAAGCTGTCAGTAGCATCGGCACAAATGCTACTTCATTCGAGCTGCTTTTCCTCCTTTCTCTATCATGGGGATTATATTTTAAAAGCCCAAATAGTTTGTGCCTGTAAATGCGGTCATCCCTGCTAGTACCAAATCCTTTCTCATCCCTTATTTGAATGGATCCAGTTATTTGAAAACCAGAGCCTGTATTTGTCAATTAAAATTCAGGGCAAAACAGACAGGAGCCTTAGGTAGAAGCTTTTTTCTTTCTCATCCCAAAGAGACATACAACATCAACCACAGAGGAAATATATATAGAAGGCCAGTACCCTGCTGCAAGGTGCAATCCAATAGCCAATGGCAAGAAATGGAAGGCCCAAGGCCACAACCAGCACAACCAGACACTTGATAGCAATGGTCTGTTCCCGAAGGCCTGAGAGGTTTTCATACCAAATCGTCAAAAGCTGCTGCTGGCAGTTGGGGTGAGCTACAAACTGTAGGGAGAAGGAGAGAGAAAAAGAGGTTACCATACCATTGCCAACAGTTCACCTACCGTACTGAAAGCATGTGCATCCCAAAGATATTCACATGCTTTTCCGGAACTCAGGCCTTGGAAAGTTCTGCTGACATTCTCCTTCTTCCTTTCATTTACTGAAATTGCTTGATAGCAATTAGAACTAATCTGGAAACAGGAATGTAAAATTGATATCCTTAAGCTAGTACTTTCCGAGGGGAACATTCCTAAATTCACAGGTTCCTCTATCGAGTTTGGGTGACCTCTGGTTTATTTTGTGAAGATGTCCCTCATCTTGCTGACTGCCACTTTATTTGTATTAAGTTCAAAACGGAAAAGAAAACCAATGATTTGGTTTATTATCTGTTATAGCTAAAAGAGAAGTGTTGTTCAATTTTATGAAAACGCTACATATGTGAAAATTGCTACATATGTGAAAAATAGATGACATGCCACATGAACATCCATGTTCTGCCACTGAAGACCTGAAAAACATCAGCAAAGTGACCCAAAGAGCCTGCAGGTGTTACTGCTAGCTCTACACTTGGACTGCTTCCAGAGGCTGACACAAAATGCTGCTTCTCTTCTATTTCAGGATTGTGTCCACCTTTTTTTAAGGGTTGTTAATTTTTGCTTTGTTTTTTAAATTGACTTCATTGGTACATTTTATCTGTACATTATGATCACATTCATCACTGGGTTTTGTACTTGGACATGTACATGACATACCTTAGTTCTTCTTTTTCCCATTCCCCTCCCCTCCCTTCCACCCCTCCACCCCTATTTACAAAGGCTTTGTTTCTGTTTTTCCTTGTTTTCTCATATTTTTTCCTTTGCCTTCCTTCTTTCCCTCAGCCCCCCTACTTCACCTTTGAAACTTTGGCTTTCAAACTTTTTTCACCTTTGGCTTCCTATTTCACATTATCTATTATACATCTTGGTCCTCCTTTCAGGTCATTTGAGAGATGTAAATGAAAACAAAGCTGAGATTCTACCTCACTCCAGAAAGAATGGCTGCTATCAAGAAATCAACCAGTAGCAAATGCTGGAGGGGTTATGGGGAAAAAGGAACCCTTCTTCACTGTTCTTTTTTTTTTTTTGCTGGTACCATGGATTGAACTCTGGACCTTGTGCTTGCGAGGCAGGTGGTGGAACTATTGAGCTAAATCCCTGGCTCACTTCTCCATGCTGGTGGGAGTGTAGACTGATGCAACCACTGTGGAAATCAGTGTGGAGGTTCCTCAAAAAAAAAACCCACTAAGATTAGAAGTCCCATTTGACTCAGCTATTTCCCTACTGGGTATCTTCCAAAAGAATTAAAATAATCATACCACAGCAATATATGTCCACCTATGTTTATAGTGATACACTTTATAATACTTAAATCTTAGAAACAACTCAAATGCCTGTGAACTGGTGATGGGATAAGAAGATTTTTTTCTTAAAAAATAAAATGGAGTACTACTCAGATGTAAAGAATGATAAACTGCAGACATTTATGGCTAAATGGATGCATATCAAGGCCATACTCTTAAGTGTCCACATTTTTTCATTGCTTCCTCTATCACAGTTCTATCACACACATATTTACCATAAGCTCTCTCATAACTATAGTTCTAATCAGGAAAAAAGAACAAATATTACTTACTTCAGCCCTGTTATTTGATTTTCTTTTACTATTTCATTTTATTAAGTCACCCACCAGCATCACTTAGTGGGGACTGCGATTCCTTTAAGACCCAATCTTTTTCATCTTGTTTATTTTTTTACAGTTATTTTTATCCTATTCTTTTCCAGGTACAGAATGTATTTGTAATCAGGTCCATCTAAAGGTCCCTCTGCCAGAATGTTGACCATTTCTGGCTAGATACAAGTCTATCTTTAAATGGCCAGGTGGGGTTTGCTCAGCTTGGGAATTAGTAAGAGTCATTCAAAAATCAATTAGCCAACATATTTTTTAAAAGGACATTTTAGCAACAAAAACAACAACAAAAAAGTAAAAGTACCAGAGTCTTCTGAAAAAATAGAATAAGCAATAGCAATGCACTTACTAGGAAGCAACCTTTAAATATTTAAGGAACCCTATGAGAAGCTGCAGTCTGTACTTGAAAAGGGGTTCATTTCCATCAAGCTCTAGTTAATGATCCTAATGAGTGCCAGAAACCCAGGCATTTCCTCAAGTTATTCGGCTACTTATCAATAGCACATCTGCAAGGAAGTGAACAGGTTGCCACTTACTGATGTAGAGTTTCCTATCTACAGCGCTAATATTTCAAAAAGGCCTCACCTCCCAGGACAGGCTGAGGGCCCACGTCCCCATCTCACTCCTGCCCTATAGCCAAGTGTGTGCATCGCCATTGGGGCAGTCCACGGATGAATGCGCCAGTAGCTGCCACTGTTGTGCTACAGGCACAGGACATGGAGGACGACTTGACAACCCATTGACAGAGGAGATGAGAATGCATTTACAAATACAAGATTTGAGACGCTTTACTGGATTCTTTGCAATAATGGAACAGGTAGTGTGTGAGATATAAAGTACTAAAAAGAAGATGTTGTCTTTTCTTGTTTGATGATTCAATATGACAAAAGTCATATTCCTATGGACTGAATTATATCCTCCCTCAAATTCATATGTTGAAAACATAATCCCTAATGTGCTGTATTAGGAGATGGGGATTGGGGAGGTGATTAGATCATGAAGATGGAGCTCTCACGATGGAAGGCACTCTTGTAAAATATTCCAGGGAGCCCTCTGGCTCTGTCCACCTTTGGACAGCAATGAGAGGGCAACAGTCTATAGCCAACCAAAGAGCCCTCTCTAGGACCCCACCATACTGGCACCTGGACCTGACTTCAGCCACTAGAATTATGAGAAATGAATTTTTGTTGTTTGTAAATCACCTAACCTATTATACTTTTTTTTTTCAGTAGCCCCAAATGACTAAAATACATATTTTACAAGTGTTTTAAATTCAGTGATAAAAATCCCAAGTCCTGATGGTCAGTTGTCATTGCTGGTGCCACACACATATCTTTTTTTCCAAACCAAAATCTGTCTTTCCCAAGGTTCTGATTTGTTAAGGCAATATTTCACATAGCAATGCAGTCATTATTTTAACTCCCAATAAGAAATTGTAGATATATCTAAGGTTGAAGCCTTCCTAGGATTCTTGATAAGAATTCCAAGTGTTCATTTTGCACCTTTCTGCCCCCCTGAACTATATTTCAACCATTTCCTGCATGTTCACTCCTTCTTCTACAGTTCCCATATGTCCATCTCATTTATTCACTTACTCATCAAAATGTCTATAATCCCTATAATTACCCCAGCACTGTGCTGTGCATTGGTATGAGAAAATAAAGTGAGATCAGTATCACACCAAGGGATAAATAATCATAGTTCTAGGGTTCACAGTGAGCTCTCAACAAGTGCAGCGATTTAAACTACATGCCTGTCAGGATGGTAAGAATCTACAATATTGTAGTCTTTTTTTTTATTTTTCATTGAGTTTATTGGTACTTTTTAAGTTTACAGTACAGTTAAAATCATCATTGGGATCTTGTATCTTTACATGACAGATCTTGGTTCTCATTTTTTCCCCATACCCCTGTGGTCTTAATCTGAACATTGGTCCACACGTATTAGGAGGATCTGCATCTGTGGGAATTTGGGTACATGCAAGTACAAGTTATCCATGGTGAACCACCCAAGTTAGGTTTATGATGAGGAACTGTACATATAAGAAAAGCTACAAGTTGAGTGTATAATGTCATCATATTAGATTATTATTGGTGAAGTCAGCTGTGCACTTTTTATTTTAAATAAGCCAAAGGCTTCTGCAAGACACAGAATATCCATGAAGTTAAGAGACAGTGGAAAAATGGATTTGGATTGAGGGACAAATTTCTCATTGGGGGGTGTTGCTATGGTTTGAATGGGTCTCCTCCAAAATGCAGAGGTTGCCCTTATGATATCACTAAGATATGAGGTCTTTAAAGGCTGACTAGAGCCAAGTGCAGGTTCCTTGACATGCACCTCTAGTCCCAGCTACTGGGTAAGCTGAGGCAGAAGGATCCCTGGAGCCCAGAAGCTTGAGACCACCTGGGTAATATAATGAGATGCCATCTCTTAAAGAAAACAAAGCAAGAGCAGCAGACAGAGGTGATTGCTCATGAAGGCTGCCCACTCATTAAAGGGATTAAGGCTCATATAAAAGAGTTCCATCCACCTGAGGACACAGTGCTCCACCTCTCTGCAGGATGTAGCCCTTACCAGGCAACTGAACCTGCCAGTCCTTGACCTTGGATTACCAGAGTCAGAACTGTGAGAAAACACACTTCTGCTCCCATAAACAATCCAGTCTCAGGTATTGTGTTATAGCCTCACAAATGGACCAAAACATTTCTCTTTCTTCAGTTTTAAACTCTTAAGAACTCTTAATATTAATGTTGTAGTGTAGCTCCCTTTTTCTACTCCTGCTCCCTAAGGCAATCCTTAAATCTGAAGATGTGCTTTATGGCATTAACTACATTTGCATTAAGGTTGCACAGCTTCAAAGATTTGACAGAAATCAATCCTTTCCAAAACATACATGCATCTATGAAACATTTAACTCACCTGGACTTGAACAACACAGTGCAAACATTTACAAAGCCAGAATCATGGTGTTTACTTTTTGTTTGTTAGTCTTTAAAATTCAGTTTAACAAGCATATTTCTGATACCATTACATCTATTCTCTTCTTATTTAAGATAATACACCATCACATGGACTGTGTTAATTCCTTTTAATCTACGCAAATAGATTTTCTTCAATGATTTAAAACCTTAATACGAGTGCATAAGAGATATTCTACAAAAGAAAATAAAACCAATACAATATTAGCAGGCGAGAGTAGAAAACTAATCCCTCTGGGAAATGAGTTTTGCTCTTTTCAGTGACTTCAAATAGGACAGTGACCTTTATCTCTTAAAACTGTTTTACGTCCAAAAATATATCCTTATGCCGCCATACCAGTCATAGCCAGCTGGATGAAGTTTTTATGCTGTCTCCTGACTTCAGTGGACCAGCAAATTGAAGTCATTACAAAAATAATACCCTATTTGAGCTTTTCTGATTTAAAGGGAGAATGTTTGACACCCAAGAAAATTTCAGTCTTTCAGTGGAATAAAACTACCATTTCACTCAGAACAAATTCATGCCAAATGACTAATCGATTGTAAACTGAACCGCCAAGTGGGCAAGTTAGAGAAAACAATTACATTAATGTAATCAAAAAGAATATACGTTACATTGTCTTTCCATCAAATTAGCGTTTTTGAGAATCATCTTGATGTGAAAACTGTTGTGCAACAGCATGGTAGGAATACTGTTCTTGTTCTTAGTGACTGTTAAATTGTAACTCATAAAATTTAAAAGTGTTCTTGAGAATGAAAATTAGATAATTAATTTTTCCTGGTAAAGTTCACTAAGTGGTGAAATATAAACTGAAAACTTACATTGAACATGCTTTCCAGATTTTCAAACTCCCTGAGTGCACCAGAGGACAGGAGGCTGCAGGGCCCAGGACCGCACTGGCCCAGGTACGCACTCCACAGGCTCTGCAGCGCACCCGTAGCTCTCACTGCATTGCTCACATTCCGGGCTTTTCCTGCACACTGCACAGAAAGGGGACACACAATAGGCAGTGGTGTGTGTTTATATTGTTTGAGTCTCTTTTTAAGATAACTTTCTATGCTCACATCTAATCTCATCAGAGAAAATAGGAAAGCAGGCAGAAAGAACTAAGGAAGTTGTTCTAAGGAAATTGTGCCCAGTTTTGCACATTCAACGGTCTACCAAGTTCCAGTATCAAGTATCTGTCAAGAAATTTCTCACAGTAGACATAACTCCAGTTAGGAAGTAGAATGCTATGTTATTTCTGTGGAGGAGGAGGAGATTGAGGTCAGCTTCACATCACAGAGCAGAACAGAGGCACAGTAAAGTTTAAAAACTCAAATATTTTTTGGGGGGCAAATTGTTGTGATTATTTAACTGCACATTAGTTTTTTTTGTTTGTTTGCTTAAAAGTTGATTTTCTTGTATCTATTTTCATAAAATCAAATTTCATCTTCTGCTTTATTCCATTCTTTTTGCCCAACAGTGTAGGTAGGTAGCTATATAAGGAGAAATAATGTTTATTACACTTCCAATTTATTATTATATCTCTCTCAGAAATAATTGTATAGTTGAGTAATCTTCAAAATCTACTGATAGAAAAGACTCAGACATATAATTGTCCATTTCACCATCAGCATTGAGAATTGTGATGTTTTTATTTGTTGATAATTTGAGAGAGGGGGCATTGTTATACTAGGGTACAATAATTATTCAAGGAATAATTGAAAAGTTGAAATATGTTAGTTACCTATTTGAATTTCTGTGAATTATCTATTCAAGCCCTTTGTTTATTTTTCTATAGGGCTCTGGATGTCTTCCTTATAAATTTCTGTAAGCTCTTTGGATATTAAGAATATTGATCCTTTGTAAGTTATAACAGAGAAAATATTTTTCCCAGTTTTTCCTTTACTAGTTTGTGATCTTTCTGATGTAAAGAGGTTTTGTTTGTGATCGATCAAATTACTTATAGTTTTGGGATTTTTTTCTACTCTTATTATATGAGAAAACTCTTTCTTACATAAACATCAAATTTATGGTCCTAAATTCATGGTCCTATATCTCTGATTCTGATGTTTCATATTTTTATTTTATGTGTTAGCTGTCACCAAACTCTGTAAGGATGAGGTGGAATCATGGTTTGATCATAAGGAATACCTGAGTCCTGGGAACTCAACCCAGACAAAAGTCAACAAACTCAAAATCAGAGCTGGGAGATCTTGGGTAGGAGGTAAAAGGAAAACCTTCCTGAGTCTGATGTGGGACCTAAATAATTGACCACTACATAAACATTGTTTTGTTGGTGGAATTTTGGGTTGATTTAAATAAACATGAGTTTATTATGTTATTGCGGAGGGCCCACAACATATAGTTATTTTGGAATCCCAATGTATTGTCACAGCCATAGACTACCTCTGTGCCACACTGGGTAAATGCATCATTATAACCCAGGGAGCAGTTTTGTTGGATGCTAGAAATAACATCAAGGGCAAAGAAAACAGCAGAAATGGATGGGCATGATAATTCTCCTCTTTGCCAGAGCAGAAATGGGTGAATGAAAATGAAGGAAGCCTTTGAGAGGATGAAAGGAAGAATTAGGGCTCTATTGGCAATTCTACCACAGAGTCCTTATATACATTCATCAAATGAGGATTTCAAAACAGACTTTAATTTTCTTTTTATGGCATACAACAAATAAAACCAGAAATGCTTGTAAAGACCTAAATCTCCTTTCAGTTCTAAATTAAAAAAAAAAGATTTTTTCTTTTTTGGTTTTCTGGTGGTCAGCTGATAGCAAATTTATTACTAATGACATCTCATACATTGTAACCTATACACCAATTTGTTTAAAATTAACATTCAGGAAGACATTCACTCTGGAAGACAGTTTGGTTAACAGTAGCACATCTGTAGATGAGCTGTCTCTGCTAATATGACACTTGCAAAGCAATGATAAAGAGCCAGTGACAACTGAAATCAATTCTCTCCTTTCAGGTGCCAAAGAGAAGAGATATGTATTGCAAGATCTGTGAATGTGTGTCCAGACAGTTTTCTAAAAATGGCTTACTATCAATCTTCCTCAAAACTACCCCCTCCTATATAACAAAACCCTCAACTAGCAAGACTGCTCTGAGTGTAATTATCTTGTAGCTGATTCTTTACTTGAAAAATTATTTTAATTCAGTGTGTGTGTGTGTGTGTGTGTGTGTGTGCATGTGTGTGTGTGCTCAAAGCACACAAGTTGGTAGAGGGAAATATTACGCCCTCCCTGCTTGCAGCTAGGATGCAAACATTGCTTTAGGTTCCAAAGGGGTGAAGCATGCAGCAGGTCTGATTTGGAAGAGGCTTTATGATCACAGGTAGAAAGACTCAGCACCCTTTCTGCTGGTGCAGGTTCTGGCTGTCTTGCCACAGAAACCCCCTTATCAGGTCAGTTCTTGCCTGGTTCTGAGTGAGGTTATTGGAAGCACAATGTAGATCAGCTTGTTTCTCCACTTCTTATGATTCTGTAAGCCTCCTGACATCTTGTGCTACATTCTTCTTGCTTAAAAGGTCTGATCTTAAGGACTGGAAGCAACACAAGGAACATGAGATTTGTCTTTGATGACTGAACTTGCTTTACAGTGATTGTATGAATTTTCCCAATGTAGAAATGTTGCTATCTGATGCTTACTGAATAATTGCCATGTACTGCCCTGGGCTACTTACACACATTACATCATGCAATCCTCAAACAACAGAAGAGTAGATCCCACTATTGTTCTCACTTCACTGATGAGCAGACTATGGCTTAAATGGTTACTTGCCCATGATTACTTAGGGAACTGTGGTAAAATCAGGACTCAAACCCTTGCGGGCTGGCTCTAGTGACTGTTCCCTAGCACCAGCGCACACTGCAGGAAGAATAGAAGGCCAGGCTACTCATGGATCGATCAGTTCACAAAACCAGATCTTTTCCTGGTATAGCTTGCTTCTTGGTGATTTATCAGCTTCTCTCAAGAAGAAGAAGAAGAACAAAAAATCCCACCTGGCAGATTCTGTGTAAGTGAACTTTTATTATAGTAAAATAAAATTTAACCAATTATTTAATAGTCTCATACAAGCTAGCAAATAGGTATACATAATAGCTTTTTTTTTGGCAGTCATCAGAATATGATATAATCCATAATTTTTATTTCTGGCCACTTCTATAGTGGTGTGACCTTAAGCAAGTCATTTACGCTTGTTAAACCCCAGCTCCTTTGTATAATAGAAACTTCACATTCCATCTCATCTAGTTTAAATGAATAAAATAGTATAGGCTTGTCATGAAGATTAACATTAGTATGTATGTAGTAGTGCCTTGCAAAAATATATACAAGTAATAGATATTGATATCAGTATTGAAATTAGCACTTTCCAGAGTGCTTCTGCAGAATTTAATGCCTTTGAATTCAACAAAATCTTGAATGTAAGAGGCATTATTTTCCTTTTCTATGAGGAAAATAAAATTTAAAGATTTATGACTTCTTCAAGGTCCCATATCTCCTAAGGATCAGAACTGAGACATTTAACTTGCAAATTTACCATGATTCTTCACTTAATGTCTTTCATGAGTGAAAAAAAATTCATTTATCAAGAAGATCTATCCTATTTTTAAAATTTCTTGAATTATGACATCAATATTGCATGGCCATGCATGGAAGTGGCCCCTCACCTTTTTTACTTCATACTTAATGGCAAGTTTGACACGACTCAACGAAGGTTTATGCCTGTGCACTTCCAGAGGCTCCGTGGATCCCAGATCTCCATTCAGAATGGCTTCTACCTCTTCTGAGTCTCGGCAAAGATCCAGCACACCCACTACAAAGTCTTTGCATTGCATGGACAGCTTCCTGTAGTCATTCTGAAAATAAGAGGTCTTGGGATTAATGCAAAGAATTTTCTCTAACTTAATGGGAAGTGTTAGGATGTGTGTGGATTAGAAGAAGGTGTCCCTGAGTGCAAACTGTTGAGTTACATACAGGCTAGATTTGACCTCTCCCTCTGTATCTTCTTAGATTTCCTTCTTTAATCTGTCCAACTATGAGACAGCCGTGAAAATGGGATGTACATGATCTCACTTATCTGCAAAATCTAGAAATGTCAAACTCAGCGAACTCAAAGCTCAAATGGTGGTTATTAGAAGCAGAGGGCATGACGAGGGAACGGAGAGACCAGTGTCTCTCCAAGAACACAAAGTTTCAGTTAGACAGGAGGAATACATTTTTTTAACTCTTTTGGACAGTCCTTGGCTATAATTACAACAATGTATTGTATGTCCTCAAAATTGCTAAAACTAAATTTCAAATGTCATGCCACAAAAAATAAGTGAGATGATGGATATGTTAATTAGCATGATTTAATTATTCAGTATTATACAAATATTGAAAACACTGCATGGTACCCCATAAATATGTAGATACGTGTTTATTTGTTTTTGTTTTTGTTTTGTAGTTACTTGCTAAGAAAAAGTTTTAGCTAGGAACATAGCTCAGTGGTAGCTTGTCTAGCACATACAAGGCTCTGGGTTTGATTTCTGGAACTGAAAAAAACTGTAATTTGCTTCGGAAAAAAGTAGTATCATGTAACTGTTTGGTTTATGTTAATGCTGCTAAACACCACTGCTAAAAGACTAAAGGATCAAAAATAGTTTTATCTTTTTTTTTTTTTTTTTTTTTTTTAATTGTGAGTGCTGGGATTACAGGCATGCACCACCACACCCAGCAGTTTTATCTCTTGTACAAGCAATAGTTATAAAGCCAAAACTAGACCATTCCTATAATGGAAAATTTTCTGAGATGGCAATTTGACATGCAAAATTAACTATATGTGAAAATAGCCTGTCCAGTTTATTATCCCTTGCCCTGCTGTTGTTTCTTTTTTTTTTTTCTCAAAGCATAGTTCTGACACTCAATAGCATCAACAGCACCTGAGATCATGTTATAACTAAATTCTCAGACCCTGCCCCAGATGTCCTCATTAGAAACTAAGGAAGGGCCCAGTAATCTGTGGTTTAAATACCTCAGTGCTTCTGACCCAAGATAATGTTTGAGAATGATTGTTTTACAGTAAATGTAAAGAGAAGGAGGTACCCATTCATACAAGGAAGGATTTTTTTCTGGTTCACCTAAAGGGCATATTATCATGCCCTGCAGAACTGGAAGGAGAGAAATGTCTGATTGTATGTAATTGAATTCTCAAGGGTTACAGAATGTCAATACCTGAGAGAAAAATTTCCAGGCCACTGGAACTAACACCTTGCTAAAAATAATCTGTGAATCTTTAATTTTATTTGCATATTTATATAGTACCAGGGACTGTTGGTAGCAGCCCCTGTTAACTTTCTCAGTGGAGCTCTACTTCTAGCTTATTGGTTCTAGTTAAGGTGTCAAGGACCATCTCTTGGAAAAATGTCTCACTTTGGAAAACACCAGTTAGATCTCTATGACTTTCTGCAAAATTCTAGTCCATTAAAAAAGTTATCCAGATAATAATTTAATTTAATTTGTAACACTTGCAGAAAATAGAATTCTTCATTTCAACATGATCTGAGATATCCCATGTGTCTACACAACTAAGTAATGCTTAGCATTGCAGAATTCTGGCATTCTAAGTATCGTATGTAAAAGAAGACATGAAGAATTCCAATTTTCTTCCCTTAACTAAATTAGTTTGATTTGGTGAGTAAAGCCAAATCACCAACTAAAATAAACAAGAAGAGCAGAGAGAGTGTTTAAAAGCTACACAGACTAGAATAGTTTCCATTTCAGATATCAGGAATTCAGATAAAGAACAGTTACAGTTAATCCTTTTCCCCTCATAGGGAACAGATGAAATGAATAAAACTTCAATCTTTGGTTTCCATTCAAGCTGGTACTAGGCAACTGATAAAATTAATAAAATGTTCAGTCTCTGGTTTCTATGCAGAGTGTCAGTTAAATATCCATCTGCCTTCCATTTCTGAAAGACTAATGAAATATTTTATTATAGCATACAGAAGTATTAAATCCATGCCTGTTTCCATATAAAGCTCCTCTTTTAATACAGTTTTTTAGATGAAATTTCCTCATTTTATTCTTCAGTTCAGACTGTTCTGTAAGATTTGATACAACACAGGAGGACCATTTCTCCACTGACCAGAAATAAAAGAGGCTATATTTCATGCTTTCAATAAAACCTAGAACTCACTTCTACAGTAATACCTAAACAATGACTCATTATATTTATTTATTTATTTATTTATTTATTTATTTATTTATTTATTTATTATTTTAGTACCAGAAATCACTTCAGTTCACTGTTCTGTAAGATTTGATACAACACAGGAGGACCATTTCTCCACTGACCAGAAATAAAAGAGGCTATATTTCATGCTTTCAATAAAACCTAGAACTCACTTCTACAGTAATACCTAAACAATGACTCATATTATA